TGGGATGGTCGGCAGACTAGTCGTCGATGCCAAGGCGGTTTCGTGGTGATCATGGGGACAGTGTTCAAGTGGAGGAGGGGCCAAGAGTGGCGGATGCGGAAGCGACGGTTTGGGGGGCTGCGGACCTGGGTGCCTGACATGCGAATTGTCTGGTATTTGGGCAGCTTGTCTGTTGATGACCTAATTGTCGACACCGGAAACATCCACCCTTAGCTTGGAGGTAGGTTTGCTCTTCGGCGTGAGTTTCGTGAGACGGGTTGGGTGGGTGTTGATAGGGGGACAGATGGTGCATTCTCTCTTTTCCATCCACATGAGGTGGATGGTGGAGAGTTCGTCGAAGGAGAGCGATGTAGTGTCTAGTGGGTCGGAGAGGGTGTCATGGTCGGGGGGGGAGAACTCGTTCGAGGAAGCAGAGAGAGAGGTTTCGTCGGTGATGTTATGAAAGAATCATGGGCGGGGTGGGGCGGATGTGAGTGCGTCCTTGTATGGGGTGAGGAATTTGTCTAGGTGAATGGCGCGGTTGAAGAGATCGGAGAGGGACATCGGGGGGCCGTGGACGAGGGAGGCGGCGAGGTCCTTGCGACATCCCCGTTTGAAGCGGGAGATGAATGTGGCATCATTGACGTAGTCAAGGGGGATGTGTTGCCGCAAGGCACGGACGTATTGGACAAAACCGTCGGTTGGGCCGTTTTGTCGAAGGCGACAGAGTTGCTCAAAATAGTCATCAATCGTTTTATGCGGTCGGCATGGGGCTGTTGAAGAGATCGGAGAGGGACATCGGGGGGTCGTGGACGAGGGAGGCGGTGAGGTCCTTGCGGCATCCCCGTTTGAAGCGGGAGATGAATGTGGCATCGTTGATGTAGTCAAGAGGGATGTGTTGTCGCAACGCACGGACGTATTGGACAAAACGGTCGGTTGGGCCGTTTTGTAGAAGGCGGCAGAGTCGCTCAAAATAGTTATCAACCGTTTTATGCGGTCGAAATGTATAGGTGATGAGGTTTGCCCACTCGATGAAGGAATGGGGTTCCGCATTTGCTTGTTGGCGGTTAGCGCGTTCGGTGTAGCACCAACGAGCGGCGCCTTCCTGTAACCTGGTGCTGGCAATAGGTAGCCAGTAAGTGACAGGGACATTGTGGAGGGAGAAGGCGTCGTAGAGTTTGTGGAGGAAGACGAAGACGTGCTCGTGGGGAAGGCCGGTGAAGGGGGGGATGTCCATTGATCGGAAGGATGGGGGAAGGTTACCCATTAAGGGTGTTGTGGTGGCGAGGGTGTTGAAATCAAGTTTTGGTGAGGAGGACGGTACCCGAGTGAAATCGGTCGTGGCGTTGGTCGGGAGGAGCACTGACGAAGGAAGTATTGGAAGAGCGGGGAGCAGGGCTTGTGTTGTGGAAGTGATAGTGGATGAAGTCATGAGAGGTTTTGACAGGAGGAGAATGGTTGACGACTGTGTGACGGTGGGGGTCATCGTCTTGTGTGGTAGGTGATCGCGGTGGAGGTGGTGGTGGATGACGTGCTAGCGAAGAGGGCGGTGGATGTGGAGGCGGAAGATGGGGGAAGGGTGGTGGTAACGATCTGGATAGCGGGGGAGGCGTGTTGTTGTTCGACGGTGGTTACCTGTTGGGAGAGGCCGGAGAGGGATGCTTGGAGGGAGTCGAGGGTGGCTTGCGTGGCGGTCATGAGGGAGAGGAGGGTGGAAGAGTCAACGGGGACCTCCTGGGCGGCAGCCTGTTGGCCAATGAGTTTGCGACGGAGGTTGTTAACGGACTGGGTGTTGATGGAGTACATATCGATGTTGGATGAATGTCCAGGGTGGGGGAGGAAGCGGTGGTAGTGGCGGATGAGGTGGCAGCGGCAGCCGAGGTGGTAGCAACAGATGAGGTGGAGGCAGCTGCAGCAGCGTTAGCAGCGGCGGCGGCGGCGGCTGCGCGTTGAGAGTTCCTGGTTGTGTGTGTCATGCCCGGGAGGGGTTCCTATTTACAAGGGTAGAACAACATCAATTGATTTGTCAAAGAAGATAGTTTCCAAAAAACAAAATTTGCAAAACAAGAATTAGAATAAATTAATTCTGATTTGAATTAATTAAAGCTATTCGAAATTAATTCGAGAATACGCCTTGGAAAGAAATTCAAAAAGAATCCGAAGGAGAAACTTGCAAAACAAAAATTTCCAGAAATTTTCAAAGAAATAAACACTGAAAATATCGGTAAAGGAAAAAAGAAATAATTAGTTTCGAAGAAAATTTTCGATTTGGGTTTAAATTTATTCGAAATTAATTTGGGGGTATGATTTTACAAGAAAACGTGAAAAAAAAGGAATTAAGTAATTCGAAAATATTCCCGAATTTCAGGAAAGAATTTTCGAAAAAGAATTGATCATAAGGCGTTTTTGAATTCCAAGAAAATTTTTGAAAAGGAATTTATGAATTCTAAAATATACGAGAAAAGGAAAAAGTAGTTTTGAATTTCGAAAAAGAAATGCTGAAAAAGAATTAATTAATTCTAAAGTATTTTCAAATTTTAAAATTTGTGAAAAAGGATTGAATTAAAAGTATTTGGAAAGAAATTTTGAAAAAAGAATGGAATAATTGTAAGGTATGTTAGAAAAATTTTCGACAAAGAATTGATTAAAGGTATTTTCGAATTTTGGAAAGGAATTTTTGAAAAATAAGTGAAAAGTTTGAGATATCGGAAATAAAAAGTTTTGCAAATTTCAAACTAATTAAGGTTAATTCCGAATAAAGTTTGGGAAAAAAATTAATTGAGATTCGAGTTTTTTTTTGGGGGGGGGTGGTAATTAAGATATCCTAACTGTGCGAGCTATCGAATAGTGTGATAGGGGTAGTAGGCAAGGTTACTGGGAGGGGTCAGCGCAGGGGGGGGTTGCTCGATCAAATTGGGGATGATGATAGGGATGATGATAATTACGATTGTCGATGGTGG